ACTAGCTGGAGCACATGGTATCTTTTTTTTAATTTAATTTTATTTATTTTATTTTTATTATCATCATAATCTTCTTTATATTACATTGGATTACATATAACTTTACAGTGTATTACATTGTTTTTTCAAAAGGGAATGCCATGCATGTCAGTCAGTACAGAGACATTAATCTCCCCACTTCAACATTCCATATCTTTTCTGTTTTCCCCAATCATTATTTTTATTATTCTAATTATTTTTATAAAACAGTCAATTGCTATTTCTCATTTTGCTTGTAAAAATACTTTGCCCATCATGAAATACTTCGCAGACCAATCCAGTTGAGAATACTATACATGTCATCATCAACAGTTAATAAGCCCTGTTTCTCACTAACGTCCTGCCTCTCTATTGTTCACTTGCTATCTTTCTCTATCCTCTTCTCTTCACTTACCCCATTCCACACTGTCCTATTCTCATTAAGTACCTTCACTGTGTTTATGTCCTCCGAATTTTTGCTCTCTATTATAGAGTGCGGATAGTCGGTATATATTGAGTGGATACATACAATATCTTTCTTTCATAGCCTGGCTTACTTCACTCAGCAATAGATCCTCCATATCTGACCATTTTCTATCAAATTCCAGGGTCTTGTTATTTTTTATGGCTGAGTAGTATTCCATAGAGTATATATACCACACTTTTCCAATCCATTCATCAGTTTGTGGACATTTAGGTTGGTTCCATGTCTTGGCAATTGTGAATAATGCTGCAATAAACATGGATGTGCAAGCACTTTTCTGACTGAGCGTTCTCCTGTCTTTTGGGTAAATACCCAGAAGTGGGATTGCTGGATCAAATGGTAGTTCTATTTGTAGATCTTTGAGGAACCTCCATATTGTTCTCCACAGTGGTTGAACTAGTTTACATTCCCACCAACAGTGTAGGAGGGTTCCCTTTTCACCACATCCCCGCCAACACTTATCACTTTTTATATTCTTAATCTTTGCCATTCTGACAGGGGTTAGGTGGTATCTCATTGTGGTTTTTATCTGCATTTCCCTTATGATGAGGGATGTCGAGCATTTCCTCATATGCTTTTTGGCTGTTCGTATGTCTTCCTTAGAGAGACTTTTGTTCAGCTCACTTTCCCATCTTTTAATCGGGTTAATCATTTTTTTTCGCATAAGGCACTTGAGTTCCCTATGTATTCTCGTTATCAGTCCCTTGTCTGAGGCATATGCTGCTGCTGCTGCCGCGCGCCGGGGCGGGAGCCCCGGGTGGTCCCACATGGTATCTTGACAGGAAATAATCCAAAGATGGTTGGGATAAGATAGCCTTGCTAAAAGTCTGAACTTTATTCTCTAATCAAGGGGTTCCATAATGGGTCTTAAAGGAAAGGATAGACACACTCTGGTCTTTGTTTGGAAAGAGAGTGTTGCTGACTGCTTTCTCTGGTGTTCTGCAGCCCCCAGTTTGGATTCCCCATGGACCTGCACCTGGAGTATCTCTCACAAGATTCCTAAGAGACTCAACTCCAGATGGGTACTTATTCTTCATTCTTGGCAGACCTGCTCTAGAACCTTGGCCAGTTTCCTAGGCTCATGATCATGGTTGAGATACCTAAATGGAATTAAAGGACCCCTTGCCATCTGATCCCTATACACAGGACTTAGAACCAACTCAACGTAGCCAGCTCCTCACTCCCCCTTTCTTCTACTCTGACTCTCTTCTTTAGTGTCTGCAAATTACCAGAAATCTCAAAATCTACCCTCCATGGGTCTGGTAAAAAGTTTTAACCTCTCCGTCTCACTGTCAAAGACATGTTCAAAGATATTGTCTTGAGAAAATCTGATGATATCAAGTCCTCTGAACTTGGCCATGGCAGCTGAGGGCCACTGATAGAAGAATAGGCTACCCAGTGACCTTGGGAATGGGACAACTGTGGAGCTGGAAGCAGGCCCTGGAGCTAGGTTTCTGGGACACTGCCTTCTGCAGCTGTTCCATTTTCATAGTGATAATCAGGCTTCTCCCAGCTGAGACTTTATATAGACTGCCCAGAGTGCAGAGCCTTTGTGCTGGGACTACAGCAGGGATGGGGAGGATGCTGCTTTGGGCTGGTGAGTCACACAGAACAATCTCAAGGGTCTTCTCCAACAGGGATTGGTAAGCAGGGATCTGACATCTGACTTTCATATACAAAGGCCCTGTGTGCATTTTTTTTTTCATGGCATTTCTCTTCTCTCCTGGCATGTACCATTCCCATGAGGTCCCTGTTGCATCAGGCAGTTTGCTTGCTTTCTCTCTCATTTACATGCTCAGGGTCCAGAATGAGAAGAGTGAAGTCTTCTGTACATTAGTAGAAAGTACTAAAGCAGCAAATTTCTGCATTTCAAAGACTCAACAGGCAAGGCTGAGCAGGTGTGTCCAGCAGGTTAAGGATTCCCCGCTTGTCTCTGTCACTTCTGGGTGAAATGATGCTCCAGAACCAGGCAGAGCCACCTCTACTAACACATTCTGTGTTTCTCCATTTCTTCTCCCTCTTCCTCTCTTTCATTTCATCAAGGATGTACTACTTTATCTTATTGTCTAAGAGTAGGGAGGGTGCAAATAGGGAGTGGGGAATACAAACCTAAGAGAATAAGTGATGTGTGGAATGAGACTGGATTCCAGTATCACAATATCTGCTCCAAAACCCATGTTCTTTCTAGTATAGTGCTACTAAGTGGTGGAGAACCCAGCTTCAGGATGCTCTTCTTCTGTAGCAGTGGTGCAGGCACAAGGCATGAAGAGGATATTTTGTGCAGAACTCAGTGGGGTCTGACTGTTCATTGCTAGCTGCCGAGCAGAGAAACAGGCCTGTAGCTCCTTGGGAGCTCCGAGCTGAGTCATGGATCTGTTGCTTGTGTTTTTACAGGTCTGGCTGTGCTGCTGCAGCTGCAGCTGGGTAAGCATCATGTGCGTCTTTCTGG